AGAGAGAGAGAGAGAGAGAGAGAGAGAGAGAGAGAGAGAGAGAGAGAGAGAGAGAGAGAGAGAGAGCTATAGACCTTCAGATCTAAATATCTCAAGATTGATCTTTAAGCCTCCTTGGATCTTTCGTATGTCGAGCTAAAAGGATCTCTCTCTCTCTCTCTCTCTCTCTCTCTCTGAGAACAGACACCTCATAAGAGTCACAATGAATCCCTTCCTTCAGATGACTGCACATGGCAACGGGACAATCAAGCTGTGACATGAACAATAATTCTTTTGTTTTCCTGTTTCTTTTTCTTTTACGTCTGAACAATAATTCTCTCCGCACAGACAGTACATTACACAAATGCCTAGTGAATAAGCTGTCATAGAAAAAACAACATATATCTGATACACACTTACCACAGGTATGCACACACGCCTTCAAAGAACTGCGACAGTCTGGCAACTGCTGCTTTAGGAATATCACGGAGCTGCTCGCTTGCCGTCCTGTGGACATATTCTCGAACCTCTGGGATTCCTGTAGATTGTATATTCTTGAACATTGAAGGGCTCTGCCCGCTGCCAATCTTCCGAGACAGAGCAAGCGCTTCTGCAGCTGCAGTGCAAGCATCCAATGCAAAGATTGTCTCTATCAACAGCAATGGAGGGTTTAGGGTTTACGGTTAAGTGATATGGTCTAGTGTATAGGGCTTGGGGCCTTTAGGCCCCTTATGGTAAGATTTTGAAACTTCAAGCAATCACCACATATGAGAGCTTAGCTAGCATGGAGACTCTGGATAGATAGGATGGATGAGATGGATGGGATGGATGGATGGGGGATGGAGGGATGGAGTGATAGATGGGATGGATGGATGAACATAATGGATAGAAGTGATAGATGGGATGGATGGGATAGAATGGATAGAATGGATAGAATGGATAGAATGGATAGAATGGATCGATTGGATGGATGTATGAATCCACTGGATGGATGGATGGATCGGATGGACTTATGGATGGTGTGGATGCAGTGGGTGGATGGATGGGATGGATAGATAGGATGGATGAGATGGATGGGATGGATGGATGGGAGATGGAGGGATGGAGGGATAGATGGGATGGAGGGGTGGATGGATGGATTGGGATGGATGGGATGGATGGGATGGATGGGATGGATGGGATGGATGGGATGGATGGGATGCATGGGGTGGATGGGATGGATGGGATGGATGGGATGGATGGGATGGATTGGGATGGATGGATGGAATGGATGGATGGATGGATAGAATGGATGGACAGATAGATTGGATGGGCGTATGGATGGACGGATGGAGGGACGAGTGGATGGATGGATGGATGCCTGATGGATGGCTGATGAATGGATGGATGCCTGATGGATGGCTGATGGATGGATGGATGGATGGATGGATGGCTGATGGACGGATGGATGAATGGATGGATGGAGCCATGGATGGTAGGATGGATGGATGGTTGGATGGATTTGATGGATGGACCGACGGATGGATGTGATGGAAGGATGGATGGGTGGATGGACAGATGGATGGATGGATGTATGGATGAATGTATGGATGGATGGACGGATGGATTTGACAGGTGGATGGCTGGCTGGAGGAAGGGATGAAGGGATGAATGGATGGCTAGACGGATGGATGGACGGATGAATAGATTCAATGGGTGAATAGATAGATTGGATGGATGAATGGATGGATAAATATTAAATAGACTCGCTGGGTGGATAGATAGATTGGATGGATGGATAGATAAATAAGATTGTCGATAGATGAATATATTGATTAGATGGATTGGTTGATAGATAGATAGATAGATAGACAAATTGAGCAATAGGAGGCTCGCACCTCTGAGGCCGGGCTCAGCTTCCAAACCATACTTGCAACTTTTTGACAGATTGATTGACATATTAGATAGACAAATACATGGATGGATAGATCAGTTTGTTGATACATTAACTAGATCGATTAGATGGATTCATTGATTGATAGATAGATGGACAGATTGAGTAACAGGAGGCTCGCACCTCCGAGGTCGGGGCTGGGCTACTGAACCATACTTGAGACTTTCAGACAGATTGATTGACATATTAGATAGACAGCCTGCATGGATTTATTGATAGATAGACAGACAGGTTGGAGAGATTGATTGAAAGATTAGACAGAGATTAGATGGATTGATTGATAGATACATAGACCTTGGATAGACTGATTGGTAGATTAGATGGGTTGATAGATAGATACATCGATGATCGATAGATAAATAGATAAATTGATTGATTGCAATGATTGATAGATTAAGTAGATTAAGCAGATGCAAAGAAATGAGCCCTCAGTATCCTCGAAAAACGCCCTACCCGCCCTAAGAGAAGGTGGTCTGCAAATTTTGGCCTTGGCCTTACTTCAGTCCGCACACCATGATCTGTCGGACTCTAAACAAGGTTATAAGCATTTATAGGACTACATGACCATGGCGAGAGTAAACTGTATTACAGGGCCGTGTGGGTTAGTTACTGCACGCAGCATCTGCAACCAACCGGTAGGGCTCAACCTTCAGTTGGTTGAAGATGCTGAGGCCCAGCCAAAGATGCTGAGGCCCAGCCAAAGATGCTGAGGCCCAGGGCCTTACACTTGAGCCCCGCGTAGATTCTGGAAGGGGCCCAAGGCGCTGCTACTGGACCAGGGGCACAGACATTCCAGCAAGGCCACAAGCCAGCTACCACAAAAGGAAGTGAGCCTTGCTCACTGGGGACATTCTGGCTGGCTGGACGTGAGCGCTGACTCGTGCAGATGAGCGTCAGACCAGAGGGAAGAAGGGCGCTGGCGGGGCGTGAGGAAGCTGCTGGGTGCAGCGAAGCACGAGGGCGCAGCAGCCATAGCCGGAGGAGGAAGGCGGGGATCCTTGGGCGGAAGGGGCTGTGGGGGAAGGCAGGGGAGAATGCAGTGTGAGGAGGCACTCACCTGGTGCAGCATGGAAGCGGGTCATGCAATCGGAGTCTTCATGAGTTCCCCAAGCTGATGATCTTCAAAGCGGACCTGCTATAGATATAGGAGTCCGGGTCATAGGGGTTATCGGTCTGTAGTCTGGGCGCCGAGCGCCAATGCAGGAGAGCTATTTGGTGTGTTGTTCTCGGTTTGCAATCTGCTTTCAGTTCGGGCCCAGAGTTATCTGCAGATTTCTATGGAACGTTGCAATCTGGTTTATTGTCAATGTGTCATTTCCACATCACTCATTTCCTTGCACAGATTAGATAAACTGATTGATAGATAAGATAGATTGGTTGATTGATTGATTGATTGTTGACTAGATACATTGATAGATAAACTGATTGATAGATAAGATAGATTGGTTGATTGATTGATTGATTGTTGACTAGATACATTGATAGATAGACTGGAATAGATTGCAAACTTGCAAAGTGGATTAGATAGGCTGATTGACAGATAGCCAGATGGATTGATGGATTAGATTAATTGATAGACTGATAAATAGATTACATTGATCAATTTAATGAGTGTGTGGGAGAGAGAGAGATGGTCGATTATGCCTGCCAGAATGCCTATCTGGCTGTTTAAACTTTAAAGTTTAAAGTTTCAACCTAATTCTCCATTTCTGATCTTTGAGTATGAGCGCAAGAGAGATGTTGACGCAGAGAACAATGGAGTCTAGGAACATGGACTGCATTATTCTGACTGTGAGAAGGTAAGCTCTCAACGAACGTTCATTGACGTAGAGAGGCTATCATGAGGTGGTGGGACACTACATAACAGTAAGGAAACAAACAACAAACACACAAAAGGCTGCTTACCAGAAACACAAAAGACAGGAACATCCAGGGAGTCCTTGTGCCGATGTGGACCATCAGGCCCACCCAAATTATCCTGCAAGATTGATGGATTCAAAAACAAAAAGGAAGATGAGCACTTCCAACTGGCAAGTTGGCAACTAGTAAGAAGTCCAAAATCGCCTGCCGCAGTTGAACAAAAAAGGCAAGAAGTTCATTCCCCCTCTTTCAGCTCTCTAACTGCACCAGCACCCTGGCGAGCGAGCGCTCCTGAACCTATCGGCATCAGTTTCCCCAGCCTTCGGAAAAATGCCGAAGCAGCCACAAAAAGTCAAACCGACAGCGTTTTTGATTCATTTGCACCGTTTTCTTTTTTCCTTTTCCGCCACCTTTTCGTTTTATCGCCTTTTCCTTTTCCGCCACCTTTTCATCTTTTCTTTTTTGGTAGCCCTTTCCCTTTTTTGTCGTGTTTTCCCTTTCTGGCACCTTTTTTTTTTTTTTTTTTTGGTCCCTTTCTTTTTCATCGCCTTGTTGTTTTCGATTTTTGTAGCCTTCAGGTTTTATCCCCTTTCATTTTGCGTGATCATTCTTGTCCCTGATTTCAAAAGTAGAAAATGGTTAGACCGTTCAAATTTCAAATAAACTTGATAAAGTTAATAGACATGATTTTACTACCTTTCACATTCATTCATCCCCTCTGGATGTTGAATTCTGGACCTGGTCTAGGTGGATGTCTCTGAATGGCCTGTTAAACATTCAAGGGCCTGTTTGGTGTCCAGAATCGACATCACGGTCGCATTTCTTCCCCAAGAAGAGTCGCTGCCACACTTGCGACAACCAGAGATTTCCTGATTTGTCGCTAAGATGGTCCAGGCACAAGACTGAGAAAACAATGTGAACAGATCAAAGATAACACTTCAGGGGTTCACAGGGTTCCCCTGCCAACCCAGCTTGATTTCTGAGTTCCAACTGAATAAGTCTGAAACCACAATGGCAATCTTAGCAAACATTGAGGAGACAAACTGCCAGCAGCGCATTTTTTCCGTGTGTATCAGTGTTGCATACCCCGACGGTCGCCACCCCTTGACTGGTCGATTGCCGACCAGCCGACCGGTCGGCTGGTCGGCACCTACCGGTCGGGGGTGGTCGGCACCCCGCAAAGAAAAAAAAGAAGAACAAAAAAGAAATTGGCTCCAGAACCTCAAATAACCCCACCAACACCCCCATACCCACCCCCAAWACYCSCATARACCCTTCCAACACCCCCAAACCCCCCCCCAAAACCCCCYATACCCCCCCYATACCCCCCCCCCCAAAAAAAAAAAAAAAAAATCATACCCCCTCCAATCCCCAAAAGTTTCTCAGCGGATTTGGGATGTACTCAGCAAGCGCAGTACAGCCCCCAACTCAGATTAAAAATAAAATCAGTGGATGGCTGTTTTCTGACTGGTCGGCAGACCGCCAACAGGTCGGCCTGACTGGTCGGCTGCAAAACAGTCGGCGGTCGGGGTCGGCGGTCAGCAGGAATGAAACCCTGGTGTGTATGCCATACTGTCCGAGCAAATGCATCCCCACACCCACTGCATGGCTGTCTGGAAAATTCTGCACCCAAATAACTGGACCAGTCAAGACGGCCTGCCGAGATGCTTGTTGCCATGTTTGGATCTGCCTGGATTGGAAAAATATAACCATATTTATCATTACTCCTATTATTCAATTGCGCTATGGAGATTGTCAGTTCGGTTCTTCAATTCTTTTACCATCAAGTTTCTTTTTTCGTTTCGCTGCTGCAGTGGAGGAACAGAAAGACACTGAGAATCATCGCTGGCAGCAGAAAAAACTTCAAGCCTTTTTACTTGTGCAGACCTTAGCTTTCCTACTTGCCTGCCAGGCTGCCACTGTGCAGACCTTAGTGATCCTAAAGTGGAAGGTCATCTGTTCTTCAGGCTGAGCGAGCAAAGACTGCCCGGCTGTTATGCGTATTCCCCGTATTGCAAAAAATGTTGTCAGGAGTGATGATAAGTTGAAGCAGAGAGGTAAGAACAGTGCTCTGGACGAAGTATACGTGGGGCAGAGTTTGCCTGGTTTTGATAACTTTGACTGGTTACTGAGGCAAAAGTGGAGGTGTTTGTTAAACAACAGAAAGGTCTGCATGAAGATAACCTAAAGAGGGTACAAAGAGGGAAATCTGAGTTGAAGGGAGGAATGTGCACAGTAACAGTAAGAGACATTGACTCCGCGGACTCACTGGTCCTGTGTGCGTAGCATAAATGGATGCAGACAGGACGAGGAAAATGTTTTCGGAGAACGATTGGAACATAGATCCTGAATCCTGATCTCAATGAAAATCACATCCTTACTGTGTGCAAGTTTCTGTATGGAGAAAAAGGGTTAGACCGTAGAGTCGCGTAGACGAGTTTGCTAAACGCAACAATCAGGGTTGCCGTCAAAGATGACAAGCCAAGCGATTAATTTTCTGCTAAAAAGATTGCGGAAAATCCTACACGTCAATTGGAAAGCAGTAGATGAATAGTTGGCAGGGTAAGGAACGTGCATCTGCGGGTATTGTGAAAGAGGGGTAAGGGAAATTTGATCAGGAAGGCCTTTTCTCCTTGTTGATATGCCTTGGCTTTATCAGCTTCACTTTATACAAGGAGGCTGTCTATTCGTCCGTCTATCCGTCGACCCGTTCGCCTGCCCGTCCTCTGTCC